CTCAGATGAAGTAGACCTTAATCGATGGACTGAACGAGGATATATCATGAATAGGGGAGTTCTCTATAGATACTCCCATGATAGTGACTCGGACGAAGCTCAACTAGTAGTCCCTATGCAAGAAAGAGGTCAAATCCTTAAAGAATTTCATGATGCGCCAACTGCTGGCCATTACGGTATAGAAGGTACCCTGGATCGAATCTCCAAAAGATTCTTTTGGACTGGTATGAGAAGATTTATCACCGAATATATTAAAAACTGTGTCGAATGCAACCGCTATAAAGCTTCCACTCAAAAGCCAGCTGGTCTTCTTCAGACTCCTGTACATAATCAAAGATTTGAAAGCCTATCCATAGACCTATTTGGTCCATTGCCCGAAGGTAAAGATAAAAAGAAATGGATCTTCATCGTTGAGGACTGTTCAACTAGATGGGTTGAGCTATTTGCTTTAGCCCAAGCCACAGCTAAGGAGTGTGCAATCACTCTGTTGGAGGAGGTGATCTTGAGATATGGATTGCCTAGAAGAGTTATCAGTGATAACGGCTCACAATTTGTGAGCAGTGTAATGCAACAGCTTTGTTTTCTGCTTGATATTAAGCAATGTTTGGTGCCGGTATACCATCCCCAAGCAAATCCTGTAGAAAGAAAGAACAGGGACCTGAAACCTCGCTTGGCTATTCTTGTTGGCCAAGAGCATAGAAATTAGGTTGACCACCTACCAGTCATCCGATTCGCTATGAACACATCAAAGTGTGAAATGACCGGGTATACTGCTGCATACCTTCAGTTTGGACGAGAGCTCAGGACAGTTCAAAAGGTAAAGCATGATATTCGAACGGTTATCCAAAACGATAACTTTGTCCCTGAGATAACCCCGTATCTCAGAAAGTTTTCTTCTATCCTCTTGACTGTTGGAGATAATGTAGAAAAATCCCAAGATCGGCATAAAACATATTTCGACTCAAAACGCCCCACTTATGCTGTAGGTTCGAAAGTGTGGGTGACTCTACATCCACTCAGTAATGCCAAGAAAGGAATTACTGCCAAATTTGTACCTAAAAGAGATGGGCCGTATCTCATAATTCGAAAGAAGTCGCCCACCTCCTATGAACTTGCCCACCCAGATAAGCCACGTGTTCCTGTTGGGACCTACCACACCTCAGCATTGAGACAATGCAACTCTGATACACAAGCAACAGAACCTATTTTACCTCTCCGAAGGAGAGGCAGACCAAAGATCAATTCTGATTCCTCCCCGGGACGTAACCTCGGAATCAGAGGGGGAGAGTATCACAAACGGGTTGGTCGCTATGGCCTCCGGCCCCGCGCCAACCAACCAAAATCACCATAGTGATATTTTTCCTTCACTTGTTGCTGAGGGTGGCAACGGGTGATTGAGAGGGGGCCATGTGTTTTAAAATGTAACCAAGTAGTGTGTTTTTTTAGAAGGGAGATTTAAAAAACTATCTCCTATAATTGTATGAGGTATAAATTGTGTTTTAACATTTTTAATAAAGTCTTATAACTGAAGCTTTTGAAAGTGTTATAATTACGGATTTTTAAATCGCACAAATGTGGATCACAATGTGAAATTTTTAAATCGCACAAATGTGGATCACAATGTATGATTTTTAAATCACACAAATGCAGATCACTATGTGCAATTTTTAATTCATGTAAATACAAATTGCGATGTGTGATTTTTTAATCACACGAATATGGAAAGCAACATGTGATTTTTAAATCATGCAAAAACCAATCGGGATACAGGATTTTCAAATAGTTTAATCATAACTTTTTGAGACAAATTTTGACCAATGTCGAAATCAATGACTTTTCATGATTTTCAATGACTTTCTAGGTGCACAGATACCCTATAAAGAGATGGCACTACTAGTCTCACCTTTTTCAAAATTTTAGTAATGAGATTTTCCGTCTTGAATTGAAATCAAAATCATTTTGTACTTTCTGTAATTTCGTTTTCATTAGTGTTACCGTTGCATGTAATCTGTTATAAATTATTTCAGTTTTGTGATAAATTTGATTTTTACGCTTTGATGCCCAAGGCTGATCGTAAAATTGTTTTAATGTAAGGCTGGAAAATTATTTTAAGTAGATATTTATCGCAGATATACTTTAAAGCAATAGAGTGAATAAATGTTATCACAGTGTATTTTACGTTAAAACTTGGTTGTCTTGCCAGGAAAACTGGACAACACAGGACATGACATATTTTACCACCAATAGGCCAAGCAAAAAACTGCTAACTGTCAAAAAAATTTTGCATTTTAGAATTTAGGATTGAATTTCCAACAATAAAAAAAGGTTGCTTTTAATAGGTCAGAAATAACAAAAAAAAAAAAAAAAAAAAAAAAAAAAAAAAAAAAAAAAAAAAAANAAAAAAAAAAAAAAAGACTATTAGAAGATAATTAAAAATATCAAAAATGAATCTTTATTACATATTCAATCCCTTTTTATGCCCCACCCATTTAGATGAGTTGTTCTTTACTAGCGCAGGTGAACCGTAATATTGCGGGGTCAATGAAGGGGGGATGTAAAATCCTTCTTTTAACTGAAAAGGGGAAAAAATTATGAAACGGAAATATAAAAAAAGTAAGATAAGTGACTAAGCTTTAAAAATAGAGAACAAAATTTACTACTTTTTACGATAGTGATATTAATTGAGAAAAGTGACTCCCACCAGCCAATCCCTAAATTTTGCACACATTATTAATAAAAAGGAAAATTTAAAACTATCCATTCTTCTAGTTGAGTTTTTCCAAATTCACTTTTATATTTATAAATAGAACACACACACAAATCAAGATGATTAGAACAAAATAAATGTAAAAAAAAGATAAAATATTTTTTGTCAGGAATATCATGATGCCTATGAACTCAGTGTAATAGTAATTTAAAATTCTTTTATTGAAGCCTTGAATCATTTGTATGTTTTATCATTCATTGTATGCCTACATACATTTAATTATAGAGCAGTCCATACATACAAAAGCAAAGTTATGCAAAAAAAAATTATTCTTACCTGTAGGAGCCTGTGCCTGGGTAAGTTGGCAGCGTACTGTGAAGAAAATAATCAAAATTAAAAACAATTGTGGAATAAATTGTTGTAAATTAGATAAAAAGTGAGAAAATTTAATAAAATTAAATAAAAACTATAGATGTTAAGAAATATTTAGCTGTTGATTTGTTTTGTAAAAAATCTTTTTTAATAAAAGAAAAAAAGGAGAGAAATTATAATAGTGTTTCTGGCACAAAATGCACATTATTAATCCAAAAAAATAAATGAATGAATAATAAAATACTAAGTAAAAAAAATAATAATAATAATCTGCAAGCAAACAGTTTATTATCAGCACAGTTCATGCCTTTTTTCACAACATAATTTTGAATTATTGGAGTTAAGTGTAAAAATAAATTTTTTTATTATTTTGCTTTAAAAAAAAATTTCTAAACACAAAGATTCCCCTTTGAGTCCATGAATGGGTTTAATTCATCTACTCCAGTGTTTCCCAAAGTGTGGTACGCTGTTACAGTTTACAGTTTAGCGAGGGTACGCGTTCTTATGCGAAATATCTTGCAATAAACGAAAATTTCAAACAAACTTATTTAAAAACAAAGCTAGCCATGAAAATTTAGGATTACGTATTTTTCTATTTGCTATTTTTTTGCGGAGTTAGCAGTTAATAATTAGTGGTGTCAACAGCCAGTTGTGATTTTTAACTTCTGTGCAATTTTTTTTATAGTAAAAAATACACTCATTTTTTTATTAGTGGTACACAGCGTTACGAAAAATTTAGAAAAGGTACACAAAAGTCATAAGTTTGGGAAACACTGATCTACTCTATATCAGATATATTAATGCTCAGATATAAATGCAGAAATAGTAAAATGTAGGTCTTAATGCTCAAGTGCTCATATTGAATATACTTGAGAGAAAAAATAAACTAAAAGACGTGAAAAACTTTGCAGGCATACGAACACTATTTCAAATAAAGTTGGAAAATGATTATGAGTTTTATGATTTTCGTGTCATACACCGCTTTGAGAATCAACAATGCATGAAACAAAAATTAATTTACTATAAAATTTAACTGCTTTGAAATAAAGTTTATTTAACACTTTACTATTATTTTTTTTTTTTAATTTCTGAAATCTTACTTAAACACACTGGTAATACTCAACATAATGCATGGCATTGAGCTAAGTTAATTTTCAGATAAAATGCACTTATTTGCACCCCCTACAATATCTTTGAATTTTAATATAAAACAAAAACACTATTAAGAAACATTCGGATTCGGGTGTTAATAATCATTCATCTTATTTTAATTTATATATTTTAATTTAAATTATTTTGAAATTAATTAAAAAAGAATTAATAATTGCGATTGAAAAGTTGATCTCAGAAAAGTACTTAAGTGGAACATTGTATGCATTTTTTAACACATTTGAATTAAATTCATCTTCATAATACAAGAAAATTATTCACTTTTTTACAATTATATATTAAAAGTTAAATTAAGGGCTATTATTTGAAAAGTGAATTAAAATAATACCTTATAAAAGAAAAAAAAGGTTTTTATTCTAATTCATATAGTAGGAGTGCACAATCCTTTCTTGAACAAAGGGCCACATGCCCAAGTACCTAGACACGTTGACGGCAATTATGATAATTTTAATATAAATATTAGTGTTTCAGATGCAATTTTTTTAAAAAATAATAAAAAAAAATTTTGTCACTTTATTTATTTTTTTCTTTTCATCAGTCAACTTAATATATTTGTATAAAATCAAATTCTTTTAAATGTTTAAGTTCATTCAAAACTGATAAACACCAAACTGATCCTTTTCAAAAATAAAATATTTCCTTCTCATCAAAAAACAGATTTCTTGAAATAAAATATAAAGATGGGGGGAAAAGTGATGTTTTTTTTTATCATATCACATAATACAAAAGTTTCTTTTAAAACAAATTAACTCTAAATTCCCTTAAATGAATTTTAAAAATAAATAAATAAATATTTTATTGAGCAACATAAATGCAAATGAAAGAAATTGTATGTTGTCTAGAATGATTTAGAATAAAGCTATTGCTCGAAATAAGTTTTCAAATTTACTTGGGGTTTAGTTCAGTATACTCTAAGCCAGTGATTCTCAACCTTTAGTGAATTATAAGAGATTTTATGAATGTTAAATATTAAAACAATTAAGTTCTTTTTCAAGTTACAAAAAATTAGAAACAAATTTCAAAAACAGCTAACAGTTTAAAAAACCAATGTTTAAATTTCACTTGTTTAATAATATTGCCTTAAATATATGGAGGTTTTAAAAAAATAAAACACTTGAATTAAAGTAAAGATACCTACTAGATAGTTTCATTGAATTCAATCAATTCACAGTGTCAATGATAAAGCATATAATGAACATGAGAATTGGCATGAAAAATTTGGTTACATGAATACTAAAAATTAGTTAAGTGCAGTAGGTGGATTACCAAGAATGCAGAAATTTTCTGATTTTGAATGTGAATCATTTAAGTTAAACAAGTATAAGAGTGCTGCTTAAAATTTGTGAATATAGTAAAACTAGGGCACTGTCAGATTTTTTATTTTTGGATGATTGGGATCATGCTCAGGTAACAGGTAGAAATAGGAAAAGATATTATTTATCGGTATTAGACGATTTTTCAAAACTGATGTTTGTATTTTTCATAAGTCACAAATCGGATGTTTATGATATCTTTGCAAGGCATGTAAATCGGGCAGAAAGACAGATATACCGAAAAGTTAAGTCAATTGAAACTGAAAACGGTGGTGAATTCATAAATCAGTTTTTTGAACAGCTGTGTTGGAAAAAACATCAAAAGACAAACGTCTATACACCTCAACAGAATGGGTCAGCCGAAAGGTTAAATCGAACAGTGCTGAATGGACCACATATTATTTTGGCAAAGAGTGGTGTAGATAAAAGTTTTTGGCCAGGTGCAGTTTTGAGTTTCTTTTTACAACTCGAATAAACTGTGTAATGCAGGCGAAACAAAAACTCCCATTGAGCTATACACTGGACACAAGCCTACAGTGCGTCATTTTCAAAGTTTTGGTCCAGAAATGTATGTTGGAACACCAGAAAAATCCAATTTAATAATGCACATTTAGTATTCAAAGAGTCAAGTATCTCAGTGAATCTGACTGAATGATAAAAATATGATATATATTTATAAACACATAACAGACTGTTAGAAAATTTTCAATAATTGATTTTTGTGGTAAGCATAATGAATATTTCTAATTTAATTAATCTTATCCAATTAATCTTGCAGCCACCGGCCGCAAAATTATGAACCCCTATCATAGTGTATTATTTATAAATTGTGCGCCCTCAAACCTCCGACGCTCCCTAGCATTGCAGGGGCATTATTTACACCATTGAATGTAGATTCTATCCATTTTTTTTAAAGTGACAATAGCATTTTTGGTAGTTAAAGCTACATATTTTCCATAACTTTTAAAAATCTAAACAATTAAATGTGACTTCATTGTGTATCGTGAATTTTGAGTCATGCATTTGAGTAATTACTTCTCATTTTGCCCCAATCAATTAATGAAAAATCTACACTGTTTGCCAATTACTATTTTTGTAACTGTTATTACAGATTACCACACTTTTTTTTAAAATCTTAATATTTTAATACGTACTGCGAATTCTGAACCACACATTTGAGTGACAGCTTATAGATCAACTTGATTAAGGTGAGTGAATCCGTGTTTAGTCAAATGCTTTTTCATTAATTATTAATAATAATTAATAATTTCATTAATTATTAATAATATTTCGTTAATTATTAATATGGATTTTAAAATCTCAATGTTTTAGTACAATATTGTTCAGTTTGGCAAACTTCGTTTCAAGAATTTGAAGAATCACTTTATTACGCGCTCAAATTACTTAGAATTCACTTGTAAATTGATGTGGTTTTATCCATCGTATTTTTTGTCAATTATTGAAACAGAATTTCCAGTCTTTTTTTAAGACTACATTGCATTGTATAGGAAATTTCAAGTCACACATTAGAAGGATCACTTTGTTACACACTAGATTATTAATGATTCAACTATAATCTCATGTGGTATTTTTGACAACATTTTGGTTAGTCATTATTGAAACAGATTTTCACACGGTTTTTAAAATCTAGATTTTTAAATGCTACATTGTTTTGTAGAAAATTTTGAACACCACAGTTGAATAATAACTTTTAGATGCCCTCGATTTGCGACAATTTTATTGTCCATGTGTCTTGTCAATTCAATTTTCAACAGCTTCAAGTATAGTTTTGAAATTTAGAGTTCTTTTTTTGTGGTATAATACTATTAAAATCTGCAGATTTCGAATAGAGCTTTAGAATAATTACTTTATGAAGAGCTCTAGTTTCTAGATTTCATCTTAAATCAGCTACTTTTTTCAAAACTGCAAAAGATTTGAGCAGTCTGAAACACAGTGTATGATTTTTTTGCGGTAAATGCAAGACAAAAGCGAAACATAAGAAATTTTTTCGTGTTGTAAAAAAAAAAAATGCAATGTAATCATAAAATTTCTGATTTCATTTTCCCAATTTTTTGATCATATTTAATAGTGGGAATCGAAAAAAATTATACAGAAATTTTATGTGCTGAAAGAACAACATAGTAATATATTATACGCATGTTAATTAAAATAAATACCTTTATGATCTGTAAAGGCAGTCTGAATAAATGTTCTTCTACAGTTATTGCATTTAACAAAGACAGGTTCTTCTATCTCTACGAACATTCCAAGATAACTATCTTCTGCAATTTAATATTAAAAATAGCATAATATTTATAATGAGTACACAATTATATAACTAGATGATAGTAAAATAAATTATTAAATAATACAATATATCAACTTAACAGGATGCATTTTATACTCAGGGGTGGCATTAGCAAAACAATTTTCAAAGAATAATAAGAAATAATTTTATGTCACTAAAACAGACTTATGTATCAGGCACATTCTTTGAAAAGTAAAACTAAATTTTAAGAGGATTATTGTCATATTTCAGGATGCTTTCATTTCTAATTAAGTTGCTTTACTTTATATCATAATTAAAAAAAAAAAAACTTCAAACCTAAATTATCATTATAACTAGCATCTAATATCAGGGATGAGATTAGTCAGAAAGTAAAAAAGAGGAAATCCAAGACTGAATGAATAATTATATATATATACACAAATTTGACAAAAAAAAGAGTGATTTTTAAACTTGTAAACTATATGATTATAAACCACGATGATTAATTTTATAATTGTATGCATATAAATCACATGCATGATTTCAAATTGAGAGAATATGAATCCCGATATGAGTTTTTAAATCACGTTAATATGTAACTCTATTTCGAATTTAAATAATGTGAAAATACAAATCATGATGCGTAATTTTTAGATCACGTAAATATGAATCATGATGCATAATTTTTAAAGCACATATAAATTAAACCGCTGTTTGATATTACAACCGCAAAAACGAATCACGACATTGGATTTTAAGCTCAATACGAATCGCTACATAAGGTTTTAAAAGCGCATAAATACAAATAGCGATATTGGAGTTTTAAATCTCGAGAAGAATCACAATGTACGATATTTAAATTGCCTGAATAAGAATCGCAACGTTCAACTTTTAAATCAGGTAAATACGAAATTGCATAAATTTTGATGCATTGATTTTGATTTGCATAAATACGAATTTTGTATATATGCATTTAAAAATGCATAAATTCAAAACGCAATATCGGATTTCTAAATCTCGTAAATAAGAATCATAATGTACGATATTTAAATAGCGTAAATAAGAATCAAAATGCGCAATTTTTAAATCAGGTAAATAGGAAAATCGACGATTAATATTAAAATTGCGTGAATATGACTCGAGATATTTGCAGAGTCTGGATTTGGGATTCTAAAAGGCTTGTTTGTATTGTTTAGACATAATAAATAAAAATTTACAAGATTCAGCAAATATTTTCACTGCAAATCCACCTCTATTCCCCCCCCTCATTTGCTCACGCCAGGAAGCAGCAACGTCTGAATTACGAAAATACGAACTATCTGCCGGAAGGATAAAAATACGGAAAATCTTATTTTCTGTGCGTAAAAGCGGGGTAAATAGCTAAAATAAGTAAAAATGCGCAAGGGTTAGCAGCGAGGATGTAGTTTTAATTTTTGTTTATCTTTGAAAACCGTAAATAAATATAATCATTTTATTTCAAGGACTGAATTTTTTTTAAAAAAAGCGGGATATTTATAATAAAAAAAAAAACTAAACTTTTAGAGAATCGGAGTTTTTGATAAAAAGGCTGAAATTTGAACAAAAGCGATAAAAGCAGAGGTCCGCTAAAAAGCGGAAAAATCTCATCCCTGTATAAAGGTCAACCAGTTTTATCCCAAGGAAATGATTATTAGAGAAACTTCAAAGGGAGGAATGAGGATTTCAATACTTTCGCTCCGAGGAAAATTAAATTCCTCACAAAATATTTTAACTTGTGCAAAAAAAATTTCCACTGAAATTAGCGGGAAAAATCTGAAGAAAAAAAAAGCGGAAATTTGCGAATCCGCTGAAGAATCACATCCCTGTAATATATTTTAAGGCATAAGAATACATTTCATTTTAAGTAAAAAAAGAAAACTGCATGATGATTTTTATCCAATTATATACTTTAATGTGCACAGGCGATACATATATGAATTGCCTCATGACTACTTTGAGAAACAAGCAAGTCATTAAAGACACCATTAATTATTTTACAATAAAAATTTCATACAAACAAATCTTAGTTCCAACAAACTAATTTTAGGGAACTATTAAGAACACACTTCAAAAATTACAAGAGCAAATCTAATTATAAAATTGTAGTGGACTCTTATTTGTTTCCCATTATAACAACTTTAAAAGAAAGGAAAAAAAACCTTTGATGTAGATTGTTTAATAACCTTTTTACCTATGTTTTATAATAAAACTGTTGCTTGTTATAAATTTCAAATAAGGAATTTATATTTAAAATTACAGTAAAAAGTTGGTATTTATTTTTTCCTTGTTTCTCTAAAATTTGCACTTTTCTAGTTTTGAAAACAGTCATTTTTGATTCTAAATTTTGTAGTCTGCTATCCCAGGTTTTATATATTTCGGTAACACAAGTAGCCAATTAGAACTTAATATCGTCAGGACTAGAGTTAAACCCTAGACTTAGCACTCCCTGCATTGATAAATTATATGCAACAGTCATTTTTACAATATTTTGAGACAGTGCAGCTTTTCCTCATTTTCCCATTCCCTTTTTAATAAGGCCCGCAACTAGTTCTTCACTCTCTTTAACTCATAAATCTTTTGATTACATTCACTAATCTGCAAATCAAGATCATTTTTCTATTTTCTCTCCCAGTTATTATACTTTATATAAGCTTTTTTTATTTTAATATTCCAATACTATTTAAAGTATGATTTATGAAAATCTTTCACTGTCTACTGCAGTATATATATATATATATATGTGTGTGTGTGTGATAAACGAGATAACAGACTCTGTTATTTCGCCAGATGTCGCTCCCCTTAACAAAATGCATCGAACTTTCTCAATGTAAATGAAGAGTTAGTTAGTTGAAGTTGTTTCTGTGTGAAACTGGTAACCTAAGTGGTTAAGAATCTGTGTGACTATGTTATTATTTAAGAATAAGTATAATTATTATTGGTGTTGATCATATGTTTGATTGAATTTATTAATGGTAACCATTTATTAATGGTAACCATATATTGATGTGAATGGTACATTTATTACCCCTAATAAATAATTTTGAAAATTTTTCATTAATCATAGAGGTAAAATAGTATTTTCATTGTGACTAATATTTAGCAAAGCTTAATACAGTGAAACCTCAGTAAATTGGACACTCTCTGGACCGTAAAAATTGTCCGCCTAATAGAGTTGCCCGTTTCCAGGAAGGGTACATTAATAACATAATTTAACGATTTGAATTGCTTGTAGAATAATTGCAATGATATATAAAAAATTAAATATTCCACAATAACTACTCGCAATGATATTTAAACTAAAAAAAATCCTTTTTCAATACAAAAAGAGTTAATGAAAAAGTTTGATATATGTACATAATTCTAGATGTAGCTACAGACAACGAATGTTTTTTTCCTAGTAACACATACATTCCAATTAATCATATGATATCGAATATGTGCTTTTAGTCTTACGTCACTTCCTCAGTAGGTTTAAATCTCCTAACATATTGCTGTGACTTGATAGGAAATGTGGTAATACATCCTTGAATACACAGAAAAAAAGAAAGCAACAATGCATACTTGTAAGTCATGTGCGGCCATATGTAGTTGTATTCACAATTGATCATCTCTCAAGTGTCTGAATAACAGTTTGATTTATATAAACTCTTCAATAAATAGGTTACTGTTCTCTTAAAAAAAAAAAAAAAAAAAAAAAAAAAAAAAAAAAAAAAACAGCTGTGTTAATTTTGGTCTCCAAATCTATAAGAGGAAGAAAGGAATATTCAGTGGCGAGGAGGAATTAAGAGCATTTAAGGCCCCATTTCAGCTTGTGGGGTTTGATAACCAATATCGTCCGGATGAAAAGATAATAAGATGCCACTGTCCGAAATACTTGACACGAGCAGTATGATTTTCTCACCTTTCTTTGATAAGATAAAGGAAGGTGACAGGAGAATGATTGATTCTAGAGTAGTGAAATATCTTAACAATATTTTAAGTTGTGGATAAAGGAAAACATTTAGATGCAGAATGGTAGAAAGTTGCACATTTGCTTTTCTAAGATTTTAAAGCATAAATAGTTTTGTAAAAAAAAATTAAAAAATTGGTGTCCAGTTTTTCAGGCTGAAAAAGTTCCACTTCTTGAAAAATTTGTCAGAAAAAGGCAAATATATTTTCAAATAACTCTTAGTTTTAAATAGTGCAGAATAAACATTCATGAAAATGTTTTTGCTATCCCTCTGCATTAATTTAATTTAAAAAAAACTTTGATTGACAACTGACAAACAAATTTTAATAAGAGAAAACTTTTTCCAATTGTTCTCAATATCAATTTCAGCACAATTTAAATCTGTTCCTTACTTGACAGCAACAATATTGTTTCGTATTGAACTGAATAATACAATTAATTATCAACTTATTTAATTTACTGAATAGCAGAAGTGTTTTAAGTTAATTCACTTTGAATGTACTGCAAAAATGTTTTGAAATGCTTGTGAGTTAGCAATTGAAACCTAATGAAGCACAATGCTGATGGCTCATTTCACAAGTAAATTTATATCTGCTTTATGAACTTATGCTGTATTAAATTAAAAATAAGGCTATAGCATTTATTCGAGTTATCAAGATTTTAGTCCTATTTTACATAAAACTTCCATTTTTTAGAAAGATCAGCACAATTTTAGTAAATTTTTAAGGAATTTGAAGGGTTGTGAAAATTTTTCTGAATTTTAGGCTGCATTCAACTCTTTCTGCAAAAAAAATTATAGTTTTGTGATTTTTATACTGTGTTTTTCTACTAAAAATTTAAATTCTTATAAAAATATTATTTCTCAGAGTCATTTGTTATGAAAATAAAAAAAATTACCAAGAGCATTTAACCAAAAAGCAATAACCAAGAATAGCATTTACTTTGAAGTACAAAATGTAAAAAGGATAAATTTTTTAAAATGAATCAATTCAAATATTTTTCAACATAAAAAACTGGTATCAATTCTATTTTTAATTATTAAAATTAAATGAAAACAAAAATAAAATAATGAAAATAATTATACATGACAGGTATTTTTAATGTGAAATATAATACTTACCAGAAGGAAGAGGGGTTTTTTCCCCAAAGTCATTCTTATTATTAGCAGAATTCAAACCAGTGTGATTTTCATAATTCGTAGAGTTTATACTAATGTTGCTATCCCCATTAGTAAGAGCATCATTTGTATCATCATCATCAGACTTATCTAAAAATAAAAATAATATGAAATATATTTGCAACAATAAGATATAAAATTTCATTTACTTTACAAATCATCTGAGGTGGCAAATTTATTCAAAAGAATAAACTACTAACTAATAATACTAATACTACTAACTAATAAAGAATAACTAATTCTTGGAAATGAAAAATTATAACTATTACGCAAAATTAAATTTGGATTAGGTGGTTGTCTTCTCAGACAGTGAATTATATTAAATGACCATAGTCTTCCTACTAATAAAATAAAATTTTAAATTTCAGTTCAGAAAAAAGTAAAATTATTTTCTCTTTTAGATTTTCTTCTTGCAAGACACGGTTATTGAAATTTATATTTTGCTACTTTGTCGCATGTAGGTTTATCCCTGAAAATGGATGACATTTTGATTAATTATAAATTTTACATCCATTTCAAGCATTGCATTAAGCAGCAATGCTTGAAATGACAGAGCTCTAGTTGTAGGGTCGGTTGGGATAATTATAGTTACTTTAGGCCTTTTTTTGTTTTAATTTTGAGCTTCATATCACCTCAACAAAAATAAATTTCATGTTTTATTCATTAAGGGTGATCTTTTTGACTTTTAAAAATATAAGAAAAACTAATTAACTACTTCAGTTACATAGATAGGCTCTTAAAGTAGTCATAATTACCACCTCTAACTCTCAAAAATTGAAATTTTCAGAAAATTCTGAGCACACATAGAAAGAATAATGATCATCAGCTGATAGATACATATTCTAGAACTATTATCAACTCAGAGTCAGTCCTTCCAAAAAAAAAAAAAAAAATCATGACTAGTGCGTTTTCCCATCTAACCTGTTCCAAGTAAGGGTCGTGATTGAATCCAAATTCATCTGAATGGAAGAAAAGGCAAGCTTTATCTGACAACGTCAAGTTTTTTGCTTTATACGCCGCTTCTAATTTCATGTAAAAATCTTAGACAATTGTGTCACTCAATAAAATTATAGATCGCAATTATAGTCTCCGCAGTCACTTTTGCATTTTTACACTTTCCCCTTTAAAGGTTTTGGAATTTTTCCTCCCCTGCTTCTGCCAGAAATACAGGTGGTCAGCTCCCTTTGTAATTTCCATGCGGGATGCTGTACCTCTAAATTTTTCCTTATTTCATAACTATATATCTACCTTAAATTTTTAAACACTTTAACTTTTACTTTACCTTTTTACTCCTGTCCTAACCATAACTCTTTAATTATCTCTAACTGTAACTCATCTTTAGCATTTTCTTTTAAAAAGACCCCAATTTTCTCACCCTGTTGCATTTGATGTTTGTATGACATAATTATCACAACTCCCGGCTCCGTTTTAAAAGGGACCATTTAACTGCTGGGAAAGATAATCATCTTAAGAACTCTGAAGTTTTCTTCTGAATGATTTTTTGCTTTGGCTCCTGATGTGGATGATCCCCTTAATAGCTCCAAGCTTTTCTTCTAAAATGATGTTTTTGCTATTGCTTCTAGATTTATTCCACTCCCGATTTCCATCACTCCGGCATGATGTTGTCGCTGTCGTTGAACAGTCGACCCAATGTTTTGGGTTTACGACTACTAATGTTCAACTACGTAGCCTTGAAATTTTGAGCCCAATCCAGAAAACAAGGGAACTCCTGATTCAAGTATTGGGAGAAAATTCCCTACGTGGAGGATTTTTCGATGGAACTTACCTGTGTTCGCATTACATGGAGAGGAAGACCACAAGAACCTCACAGTGAGTCTCCCGGCAAGGGGACTCTAACCAATGATCCGTCTACCACTGAAGATATTTTACATCAGTACAGTGGTCGGTGCAAGCTGGGTGCGAAATTTGTTTTGACCAGCTATCGCTGTGATTTGAACACGGTTCACCTCATTGGAAGGTGAACGTTATATCCCCTGAGCCATTGCGGCTCCGGTGTATAGATTGAAATAAACACTATTCAGGGCATAAGAAATAAATTTGTTTTCATCCTTTTGACGCATTTTGAACACTCTAGTTTGGAAATATCATAGGCTCAAGAAATAGAGGGTGAAACTTCACCCACAATTTTGACAGGAGTGAGAAGGAAAAGATTACCATAAGATTTAACAAGATACGTAAGTTCTTGCGTGTCACACTGAAACCCAAACTTAGTTTTTCATTATAATCATTATACAAGATAATGTTTTAAAGTGGTCAGCATCTTCATTGTCTGAACTAACTTTTTTTTAATATTTTGCAGCTAGTGAACTGATTTTGGCATGTCATATTTTCTTTAAGATTTTGGCTGACTCGAATTTCAGTATTTCCCCTATTTACCTGAAGAAGCTTCAGGTTCCTTAAAAAGTAATGTAGAAAACTTCTTTTCGAGTATATTCTATCCATTTTTACGAAAAGTCATTAAATTTGAGTTGATATAAAATATGGTCATAATTATCCTGTTTTTAAATTAATTATAATCATATACTTGTAGGTAATAAATTTTAATACAAACAGAAAATAACAATCAAAGGCCGAAAAAATATCAACGTCTTAGTTATTTACACTTAACAAAAAAAATTTTCTTTGTGGGTTGAAATCAAATTGAATAATATGTGCTGAAATTGTTATTCAAATACTTACTTTAGAATTATTTGAATACTGACTCAATATTTGTATTTAATGTTCTTGAAACTAAATATACAACTTGATAAAAAATATTTAAAAAAAAAATTCTTACTCAAGATGAGAATATTAAAATTAGCGCTAGTCACATTTACTCACTTGACCCTCATTAAAGCATAACCTAACTAGTCGAAAGCAGAAGAAACTTTAATTGAGAATTTAACATTATTTTATAGCATAAACTATGCTGGTAGCAGTTGGGGCGAAGATTTGAAAATGCATTGTCATATAGCATGAAGCAATAGTTGAATTTTATACATTTTAACTAGTTGCCAAGCAATTGCAATTTGAATTGAAAATAAGTTTTTTTTTTATATTATGGAAAAGAATTATGCTTGCAGAAGTCAGAAAATGATTGCCATTTCACATTCAGCACAGGGATCCAGATAAATTCTAAGCTATCATTTTAATTGGAAAGTTGTCAGAATTTTGATTGACTATTCAATTTAATTTCAGGCTTAAAAATTAGCTATTAAAAAATATAAAACAGTGTCTACTGGTTTCTATAATAATAGGTTAGTAGAATGAGCTATTTATTATCATCAAATTTCTAAGAACAAAATAGTTTATTCATATATGATAATATTTAATTTTCTAAGGATTTTCCGAATCTATGACAGTCAGATATCAGAATCATAACTATTTGACAATTCATCAAAAATTGACTAAAATATGATAAAGTATTGGAGATAGAAAAATAAAACTAATTGATTTCATAATGGCTTTTAATATTATCTTGAAAACTTAGAAGATACAATGCAACATCTAATTCAAATTAATTATTTCCAATTTTTTATTTCACATGCATAACTAGGATTTTTTAAGGAAGTTTAAACATATCTGCAAAAAGTGTGTTTTCTATAGAGTTTTTTATTTTTATAACGTCTTTCTTAATTACTTATAGCTAGGGCTGCAGGTTTGTCGCGGCGCGAATTTCCACGAAATTGTCATCTTTTTTCCTAAAATCCGCAAATTTCTCAATATGTCTTGACTTGCGCGAAAATTGCTTAAAATTTGATTTTTTTTTTCATTTTTTATTTATTGTTTTTATTAAACAGAATTTTTTATTTTCCTGAACCTTAAATTGAACATGTAAAATTGATTAGATATTTATATTGATTAGATATTTATATTTAGATTATTAGACATGGTATTTTGCTATTATTCTATAATAGCAAAATGACACGAAAATAGTTCAGAGATAAGAGATAATCACAATCTTGTCAACTAAAGTGGTCTTTCTACACTTAGGGAGGGTAATTACCTTCCTGAAGTCAGTAAGAGTACAAAAGAAATTGGAATCACAAAAGAAGGAAAATGTTATAAATCAAATCAAATTGTTATACATGCTATTGCACTGGGCAATGAAATTTCTACTGCCTTTCTACATATCCAGTTAATTTTTCCTAGGCGGCTTCTTGTGATTTCTTAAATATGGATCAGTTTCTTAGATGAAGGGGGGGACTAGTAGTTAGTAGGGACTTGTAACTAGTAGTTTGAATGTAGAATGCTTGAGTTTTCACAGCAATTACTTCTTAGAAAGCAACTGTCAAGGAATTGCGCGTTGGTGAAGGAAAACCGATTGAGTTTTGGAAATTAAAGACCGAACGCTCCAAATTTGGCGTTGATGCAGAAAGATCGCTTTCTAAGTATAAAAATATATTAAGTGACGAAAGACGAAGGATAAATGAGAATAATCTGACAATGTACAATACTTTGTTCCAAAATTCTGTTCATTAAAATAAAAATATTAATATTGCTTGAAATTCAAAGAAATACTTTTGTTGTGTATTTTTAAGCTTTTTTTTATTATTTGCGCAATATCTGTCTATTACATCATTTACATAATAAATTTTTTTATGTTTAGAATTTGTGTAATTTTCAAAATTTCCCACGATTTTTCCGCGAATTTGGGGTCTTTTTTCCCGTGACAAACTTGCAGCCCTACTTATAGCAGTTAACCACCTATACCTATAGTCGAATGAAAGTTAAAAATTTTAAAATTCATTAATTCAAAAGAGTTGGAAAAGAAGTTCTAAAACATATGTTAAAAAATATAATTTTTTACATTATTTACCAAAGACATTTACAAAACTATAAGAACATTGAATCAACTAAACCTTTTGAAACACCATTTGTCAAATGAGGACTGTTGCCTCCATACTCCTTACTATGAGACTCTAGCATGCTGGTTTCACCATTTGAATTTCCATCTAAATATAACAAATCCAAGAAACATAAGAACATTAAAAAAAAGCAGCAAGCATAATTGAAAAAAATTATTTAATAACACTAGTTTGCAGATTGATGAACAATACAATATTATTCTAACATTTCATAATTGAAGACCACTAAATTGAAAGGGAATTTTTTTTCCTTCTGAATTTAAGTTTCAAAATACAAATTCATTTTTCAATAAATGTATCAAAAGTTTAATTTTAAAAACTTGATGTGGTGAAGCAATTTAGATTTTAGTTGCTGTTGTAGGTTTATGTCGCACTAGATCTAAAAAATAGGGTATATGCGATGGTCTAAAAACATCACTAAGGATGATCCGAACACAGGACATCACAATTTTTATCCTCTGCAGAGGGGGTGGTTCTTCTGCTTCAGTAGTGCGACAACCTGCACCCGCAGTTGAGCACTTCACAGTAGAACAGTTTACATAGACAACAGTTACCTTTGCAGGCTAATCAAAGTAGTCACCCACATGCTCACTGACCATAGCCAATGATACTCAACTTGGGTGTTCAACTGGGAATTGCGTCTTAATGACCAGTCCGCTGCAGAAGTAAATTATGTAAGATAAAAATAAGTTTTAAATAATTGTTTTTTCCATGGTATTTCTGAATTTCAATTGATAAGCTTTCATTATTATAATGTACTAGTGGGCTGCACCCCCTGCTCGCTAACGCTCACCAACCCCCGAAAATTGCTATGCTATCTTATATGGTTTGCTTCGCAAACCAAGCTTGCTTTGCTCGCTACTAACTTAGGTGCATTGCAAATGCACAAAATTCTAAGATTTCAAAACAATCATTCAAATCCATATAAAAAAAAATTTTTTAATAAAATTACATCTTTTTAGTAAATACTAAGTCATTAAAATAAATTTGAATTCAAATAAATGACATGTAATTCGTTAAACCTATTAGAAATGTGCTATAGTATAATTCGTGATGTAAATCAAAAATCGTCAAATAAATTCGTAATACATAAATTCGTGAAAAAAAAAGCGCTTTCGACAAAATACTAAAATAGAGATCTATCGACAAAGACTACTCACTTCTGCCTAGCTTAATAGTATGAGATTGCCACAACTAATGCTCTCTGGTTATTTCAGTTTCCGTTTTTAAAAGCGCTATATGTTGAGCCACCTCAGCTAGATTTGTCATGTGACATTTTTAGAGGCAATCATTGGTCGATTCACCGTGTAAGAGAAATAGTAACGTAAACAAAACAAAGCAAACGTTGCCACAGGCAGGAAAGAAATACAGCCAAAATTTGGGAGTCACGTAAGAGAATTATATACATTAGATTTTATGGACAAATCAAGTAGCTGCTGCTAGCAAATAAAAGAATAAAAATTAATGTGCATATAGATGAAAATTAACTCTGTGATAACTCTTTAAATTAACTCTATACACACATAAAAGTTGCATTTCGAGCTACACTTTCCTCTTGTGAGGAAAGTTAGTAATCTTGTGCTATTACATCTTGATTAAAAAGTAAAATGTTGTTTAAGAGAGAAATGTATTTAACACTTGCTTATTTGAAGGATCCCCAGAGAGTTTAAAGAAATTTAAATTAAAGCATTTAACATGGAGAAAAATGAATTCTTAATTTCAGCAATATAGTGACTTAGAAATATGCAAACTTTAAATAATTTTAAAACATCTTTAAAGTAGTGCATATTTTTGTTGCAATTAATCAGTCTGAATTGGTTTCTGAAATAATTATGAAGCACAATTAATAAACTTACATTTCATATTTTATTGAAGAAAAAAGTAAGATTTAGAGAATAGGGTGAAATAGTAAAATTGATAATACATACCTTTATTTTCAAAACCATTCATTAATGAGTTTTTTTTACCCCTATCAAATTGTTTCCCTGCTTTTGTTGAAGGTTTGAAATTGTAAAAATCTATATAGAATATAAGAAAAGAATTTTCAGAAAGAGTATTAATTAAGAAAAAAAATTTAAAAATAAATAAATTAAAAGCATGTTTTTATTGTGCAGTTAAAAATTCATTAAAATTATAGTCTTACTTCTTTCATTCTGCACTTTTCTTATGATTCAATTATAAAAACTTTGTTATAAGAATTAAAATTTATAATATTTTTCAGTCAAAGGTTCAGTCAAAATGCCATTCTAAAATTATGTGCTAACGCTTATATGAAGTTTTTATATCAAACATTATTTAGAACATAAGAACAGCCATGGATAGATTTTGCAAAAATGATGCTGCAATTTTTTAAGACTAGGTGGCTCAAATTCTTAAAATTGCCTTAAAAAAAACTGAAACAGAATAGAGAAAAAACATAATTTGAAATCATATATACATACAATTAAATTATATACACAATTGTATGTATATATATATATATATATATATATATGTTTAGATTTTTCAATATTGGTTCCAGAATGACTTTCAATATTGGAACAAGATTCATTTCTATCTAGGACCATTATTGAAAAATATAGACATCCCAATGTTTACCCAACATTATAAATCTATAAAGGTCACACATAGAAAATGATATTGGTTCATTATTGAAAACCATTCTAGGACCAATATTACAAAATATAGACACCCTTATATTGGCTTGTATTTAGTTATTTGAGGCACACGTGTTCAGATCACGTGGGAAAGTCACCTATGTAGATTGTTTATTGAAACAAGCTTGTCTGCGAGCAGCCTTTGTGGTGCTAAGTTGCCGACAATGCCAACCCTCATCTATTATGAGGTAACTCAAGATAGAATCAGGTTAACATATATACTAGCGAACTGGAATTTAAAGGTTATAGTGGTAATTAAGCTACAGGCTCTATATCGTAAGCCTACACGGATCTTACATAGAAATTAATATTGGTCCTCAACTCACCCAAGATATCATCCTGCTCTTAAACGAAATAACCACGGCCCAAAGAGCATGTATCCTTCAATGGATACCAGCACACGTCAATACTGATGGTAATGAGAAAGCTATAGATAGATAGCCCGAGATAACTCCCAAATTTCCAACAGCCTGACCCTAACTGATGCTGATGCGATAGCCAGCAGCAGACTACTTTTTGCTACCTCTCAAAAGCACTCCATCTCTGCCTTAAACTGTGATCGAGCCATTTCCACAACCATAGCTAGATTGAGGACTAAAATTCTTCAAGGGAATGAAAATATCTCCCGATGGTCATCGAAGCTACAGAAGTTGCCCTCACTGCATCGACACCGAACTCTCTCCCGACCATGTCTTTGATTGCCCAGCCATATTGGCGAAGCTCTTCAGGATCTATCTGGATCCCCTGCAGCAACTCCTCTATTCCATAGAGATTAGTGATGTGGCCAAAGCTGTTTTAGATACTCTTGGACAAATTTAATTTTCCTTGCACTACTGGACAAGACAACAATATTGGTCCTATGTTCAAAACCATTCGAGGACCAATATTATAAAATATAGACACCCCAATAGTGGCCCTATATTGTAAACCTATAAAGGTCCTAAATGAAAATAAATATTTGGACAGAATATAAACCAATTCTAGGACCTATTATTACAAAACTTATACACCTCATTCTCAGTCCGATATCGAAAGCCATTCTAAATCCATTCTCTAGAAATATATAAGACCATTATAGACTTGAAATTAAGAACCAGTTTTGTATTTACATCTAATGAACCTGGAAAGACTTATAGGCCTTTAATAATATCCATTTCTATATTTAGTTCCTTAATAAGTGTTTTACAATACAAACAACAGATTTAACCTATAATAGATTTTTCTATTTTGCTCAAAGACATTTTTGATTATTTCACAATAGTCCAAGTACAATATAAACATTCACCCTTTGAAAAGAAATATTTTTTTCTTTGTTTGTCTTTTAAACTTCTGATAGTTCATATAAAATTTTTCTAAAATTGCACAGGATAGAAAGAAACTTTTTGCTTAGGATTATTTATTATGAAATAAGAAAACCACTGTGTTGCCTTCTAATGAGGAACCGGGTTTGAATCCTAGCAATGGCTGGTCGATGCGAATTCTGCACCCAGGTCGTACTGAGTGCAAGCTAGCATAAGATATCCTCAGTGGTAACCGTATCATGGTTTAGAGTTCCCTGACTGTTAGGCTAACCAAGGGAGGTTTTCCTCTCCATGCTACTCAAATGCAAGTTAGTTCCATCAAAAAGTTACAAATGAAGGCAAATTTATCTCAATGCTTGATCAAGGGCCGGGATAGCCTGGTCGGTAGGGCGCTGGGCCCATATTCAAGAGGTCGTGGGTTCGATCCTCGCCGGCCGAAGACTCTCCGTGTAGTAAGTGGTGACTGATGCACGTTAAATCTGNCTCCACGTAGTCAAATTTCTGCCACTTCCTGATCCAGAAGTTCCCTTGTCTTCTGGATTGGATTCAAAATTATTATGCTACAGAGTTGAACATTAGTACTCCTAAACCCAAAAATTGAGTCGGCTGTTCAACGACGGTTATAAAATAAAATAAAATGCTTGATCAAGGAGTTCCCTTGCCTTTTGGATTAGGATCAAAATTAAAAGTTTACGGAGTTGAACATTGGTAGTCGTAAACCCAGAACTGGGTCGGCTGTTCAACGGCAGTTATAAAATAAGATATTTACCTTGGTCAAAATGACAAGTTCTGATAGTCGAAAATCAAGTTACCAAGCACTGTATGTTATGATTTTATTATAAAAGTAGCACTGGAGTTATATTGATGGCTATCCCCACATGAGATTTGAAAACAACTAAGTATGATTTTAGAAAAAAGCGTTTATTATTTTACCTTTTAGGTTTCATTTAACGGCCATAAAATATCGAGTTAATCGGCCAATTTTAAATAGGGTATACATTAGATGAATAACGTCCTTAAATTATCGCGTGAATCGTACAATTCTATATATATATATGGCGTATATCGGTTGAGTAACGGCCACAAAATATAGGGTCAATCAGACAATTTTAGGTAGGTTTTATATTGTCTTAATAACGGCTATAAAACATCGTTTCAGTTGGACACTTCTATATAGAACCAACATAGGCTGAATAACTGTTACAAAATATCGGGTGAACTTGACAATTCTGTATAGGGCTGATATTGGCGAAATAACGGTAATAAAATATCGGATCAATTGGATTATTTTATATAGGGTAAACTTTGGCTGAATAGTGGCTATATGATATCGAGTGAATTGAACAATTCTATATATAGCCTATATTGGTTGAGTAACGGTTATAAAATATGGAGACAATTGTACAATTTCAAAGAGGGTTTATATTGGCTGAATAATGGTTAAAAAAATACTGGATGAATCAAACTATTCTACATAGGGCCCACATTTATTATATAACGGCTTTAAAATATTGTGTGAATCGTAAAATTTTATCTATGGTCAATATTGGCTGAGTAACGGCTATAAAATATCGGGACAATTGTTCAAAGTTATGCAGGGTTTATATTGGGTGAATAACAGCTATAAAACATCGGTAGAGTACGACACTTCTATATTGAACTGATATAGTCTGAATAATGGCTTTAAAATATTGGGTGAACTTAACAAATCTGTATAGGGCCAATATTGGGAAAATAAGGGAAAAAATATCAGGTGAATTTGATAATTTTATATAGGATAAACAGCGGCTGAATAGTGGCTATAAAATTTCGGGTGAATCGAACATTTCTATACCTGTCCAATATTGGCAAAATAATGGCCCTTTAAAACCTTGTTGAGCCAAGATTGGTGAATATTGGCCCAATGAGTTCCCAAGTTATTTTGCTACTGGGGTGTATATATATATAGACACACATACATACACAGGGTGTGGTAAAAAAAAAAAAACAGGACAAAAATTTTTTGATATAACTTTTTTAAAATAAATTGATTAATAAAATATAACAAATAATAAAATACTACAAATAGTAAGAAGAGTAGACTTTTACTAATAAATAAATTTAATTGGTTTCACAGTGGCCAATTAAATTTATTTGTAAAAGTTCATTACTCTTACTTATTACATTTTGTTAATTCATTTAATTATATTAATAAAGTTATCTCAAAAATGATTAATCCAGGTTTTTTTTGCCACACCCTGTATATATATGCATTTTTCATTTTCTTCCTTGCTTCATTTATAATTTTTCAATCACATACATGGTTAACCACAGCATACTATGGTTTTGTGAAATTTGGCTACTTGCCAAATAGGGGTGAAAACGAAATTTTTGAGTAGGAAATGTGTTTTATCTTAAACATAAATGTCACAAGTTTGGCAGTTGCCACCATCTCAAATTCCCTGATTTTTTTTAGACTATTTCAAAATTCCCCGACTTTTCCCTGTTTTCTAAGTAGCGTAGTAACTTTGACAAGTGCTGATATTGGCTTAGAAACGCAAAGCGTAGTTAAAGAATTTGAAGGAATTGGATGGAAGATTCATATCAATAAACAAATTATTATAGTCCGTTCAGCGAAAAGATAGACAAGGTGTAAACAAGAAAATATATCACTTATCAGGGTCAATCCCGAGGTGCTAAATAGGCGGTGAATATTTATTACCTTTTTTACTCATACAATGATGGAGAACGAAAACAATTCAGTGTTTAGTTCTGTTAAAAAGCACACGAAAAAACCACACTTGAAGAAAACTGAACCAATCATTACCATACTACCATATCATTGCGAACTTATTCAAATCGAGTTGGGCATAAGAAATTTTTTTTTGTAGTTATAGAGAACAAAACTTTTAGTTGGTGATGCAGAAGGATTGTGAAAAAAATTTAATGGTGTTGGACCAACAGAGGGGAATAATTACATAGAAATAGTGAAACAAATAGAAAATCATATGTGGGAATTAGATTACCCAATTGAAAATACTATAGATTTAATCGTTATCAATGTAGCTTCTAACAGTGATTTGTCATGTTCATTCGATGTTAAGATAAGTACTTTATCTTACAACTTTTTGCTTAAATCAATTATTTACATTTATAAATAAATTGGTTATTGTTATTTATATTTAAATTTACTAATAATATTTTTATCTTACCTTTAACATGTTGCTGTATCAGCTAATAATGTAAAAATTTACGGCTGAATTTTACACTATCATTTTGTTATTTTTTTATATCATAGCAAGCATAATAATATAAAATTAATAAGTTTGCAAGTAAGTGGTTTACAATTGCATGAATACTTTAAAATAGAAATTCTATTTTTAGTATATTAGAAATTTAGAGTTTCATAGTATTCTCTATCAATCATGCATTTATAGCAAACAAAATAACTACTCTGTAATTCGTTTCTATCATAAGTCTGCAAAAATAAAAAACACAGAAAAAATCCTCAAATGTAGCTAACTAGATCGAGATTTTGGCAATCAATCTGATTACTATTAGTCTATCTTTTCTGTGAACACACTATAAATAATAAAAAAGTTGCAATAATAAAAAGTAGTGATGTAATTCTAAAAATGCTTCAATTTCACATATTTGTTTTCATGAAGGAAAAATTAAGAATCTAGAAAGATTGGCTAAAATTAATGAATAATGCTAAAAAATGTCATTTGAAAATTTTATTTTACAAATTATATTAAATAATAGTTATTCTTCATTAACATAGAGATACTCTGTTGCCAATTATTCTATCATTTTTATAATACTTTTTCAGGTAAAATATGTTTTCATCAAAATAAGTCTAGTATTTAAGAGTAAATATATATAATAATTTTGTGTACTTACAATATACTGACCTCACGTTATGACAATCTTTTTCGTTTGGATAATAAAGCATGTTATATTTAGTGTGAATTATATAATGGTGTATAATATAAGATTACATCATGCAATATACTGAACTTTCTTCATAATACAAAAACACAGTATTTTTATGCCCATTGTTTTAAGATGAACTAATCTTAAAAATAATTTATCCCAGATAATCTTTATATTATATATNGAACTTGTATGTTTGTTTAGGAACATATGTATCTAAAATTAAAAGGCTTAATCCTAGTATACGTTACATAGTAGATTTGGCAAAATTGGCAATGTTTGGAAGATTGATACGGTTTGTAACCAATAGTTGAAGATTTGTCTAGACATTAATTTTTTTAATGACTCTTTTCTAATTGTGCAGATTCAAAAAATAAGGAGATTGTATTTCGTACTGGAAATGGATATTTGACATTATGTTGATGTATATGACTGATTTCTATTTCTGCAAATGGGAGAAGACTACTGACATAATGGATGTTTTATTTTGTCCAAGCAATATTTTATGCAGAAATTTAATTGCCAAATTTTAGTTTTAGGATTGAATTAATTTTTCCTATGTAATGAATGCTATGGTAGGTGTTATTTTGAATAGAATATTGTATGTGCATAATAAGTGTGGTTGTACATGAAAAGATTTAATATTATGTCGGATAAATTTTTTATTCCTGAGCAATTGCTAAAAAGTGGTATAATTTTCTTTCAGATATTTTGAAGAAAATAAATGTAATACACCTATTAGCTCCCATACCACAGGTCATGGGTTCGATCCTCGGAAGGGGCAAGGTTGACTCAGCCTTTCATTCCTTCAATGGGTCGATAAATGAGTACCAAGCATGCTTGGGAACTAAACACTGGGGGCTCTGCGTTCGGCTGACCACCTGACCAGAACATCTGCTCCTGCACCCCAGAGCCCAAGGTCAAGAAAACTGAGATGGGCACAGTAGGCCTTGGTCTTCTATGGGCTGCCACGCCACTGAGTTTAGTTTTAGATACACATATTAAAAGTTAGTAACTTCAATGTGTTTAGTGTTGTATCTTTCTTTTATGCCTGTTTAGTGTAGTTTAATAATAGTTTTGCTTCCTATATCACTATATTTTTATAAAACTTCTAACAGAAACATATCAAAACATGTTTAGTGAAAGAATAGTTTGATATTATCTTAATATGCGATCTACCTGTGTAATATACATTTATTCTTTTATTAGTTACATTTTAGCATTGCTCTTTTAGTGTGACATTGTCTGGTAAACATTTGCTCTATATATGTTTGCTATTCTCAGGTTACAATTTCCCTTATTTTCGCCAACGCCAATTCTGAGCAACAATTGTAATAAACGTCATTGGCAATAATTTAGCATCAATGCATCATTTCAGAGTTACCAACATTTTTCAAAATTGCACCGTAAGTTGTAATGTATACAAGAATTTTACCAATTAAAAGGTTAATGACTAAAGAAAACAAACATTCAAATATCAAAATATAATATAATTACTTTGCTCAGGGAACTTGGCAGCCATTTTGGTTACAGAATCTATGACAAAGAAGAAAAAAATCCATTAATTTCTAAGAATTGTTTTTAAGCAATAGAAATAAAAATAAATTTAGTCTAAAAAATAAGAATGAGATTATATCTAGAAGCAAATTTTTTTTCTTTCTAAATGATCCACAATATCTTTATAATATAACTTAAAATATAGAAGCCCTATTTCATATTTCTGATATTCAAAGAAAGCATTCTGTTAATGCATCATTAAAGCACTTTTAAGTTGCTGAACTATGTATGGCATTGAAGTAGAAATTACTGCTGCACAAAACAAACAATGATAAACAAACAAGATAAACAATAATAAATTGTTTGATCTTATATATACAGCGATTCTGCTTACCAATCTAACCAGTCAAACATAAAAAAAAAGTTATTATGAGTCTCAGGGAACGTGTAATTCTCCAGTAAGAAATAAAATACAGCGCGTCGGCAGAACTATAACCAATCCTAAAATAGATAAATTCACAGATGATAATTAATTTATGAATACTTGGCATTTAATTTAACTTAAAAATATATAACCAAACTAAAAATATATTCATTACTTCTCTTTGCTAAAAGATTAAAGAGAAAATTAGAATACTTCTCAATATCATATTACATCATTGCTTTTTGTTGATGCAGCCATTTGATCAATCCAAATTAAAAACTTTTACTGTTCAAATATTGTTTCGAAATTCTTAGTTTTATTTTCCAATAGAAAGAATAATTATAAATGTGCATATTAATAGATGGATTATGAGGTAAAACATTCATAATTTAAATAAGAACTCTTTTTTAAAGCATTTGCTTGACCAATAAGTTTGAAAGTCTTTGATCTTAAGGAACTGCAGTATCTAAAATCTACAATACTGGAATGACATGTCACTCATACATAAACATATTATCAGGGTCTGCAAAAAAGATGGGCGATCGCCCAGAGCACTGGATTATGGGACGCCGAACAAGACCTAAATTTAATGTTCTCAAAATTATTCATTTCCTTTTTTTTAACTATATATATATACATATATGTGTAGTCGAAGTGTGGCTCAGGTGCCCCAGGTTCTAATCCCAGAGGTGGCTGATCAATACAGATTCTGCTTCTGCCTCACACTGATTATAGTGTTCACTTAAAATATCCTTAGTGGCAGATGGATCACAATCATGTCTTAGAATCTCCTTAACGCTGTATAACTGTTAAAGGTTTTCATGGTTCTCCTCTCCATGCAAAGCAATCCATCTGGTGTGGGAGGCACTGTACATTATATTAATTACCTAGATAACATAATAAAATACCTATCTAACATTATATAGGTATACATAATAGGTATAATATATAGGTTTGGAAAAAATACCTATATAACATTATATAGATACTTTTGTCCCAGTGCCGGTTTGTTTAGTTAAACTTTTTTTATTAAGAGAATTACATTTTCTTTTTATTCAGAATGTTAAATATTTATTTTCAGTTTATGAAAGCAAATGACTACTTTAATTAATGATTTAATGTACTTTTATTCATATTTATGAATTTAAATAAATGTTTAGCATTTGCATTTTTAGGTTTCAGACTGGGGTTGGAAAATGATTCTCTGAAATATGATTTTCTGGCAGAAAAATTGTAAATAAAAGTGCAAAAACCAAGTTTCAACAGTGAGACTACACCAGCGAGGCTCGAGAACATCTTCCATTGGCACTGCGTATTATGTTTGTTTGATTTAAAATTAAACATTTTAAAAGTTAAAATTATTATGGTTAATGAAGTAACTGAGAGTTATCACATTATTTGCAATGTTATTGGCTTTCCTGTATTAGCACACTATCAAGAACTTACTAATATATTTTATTATAATCTACCTACTGTGCAAGTTCCCCTGCACTCAAAAAAGGTTGAGCACCCTTATTCTGAATTATTTGAAATAAAATATATAAAATACCTAATATCACCCTTGAACTTTAATTTGAATTTATTGGTACTTAATACTACATTTAAACTAATTAATTTTGTCAAATGCAATCTAACTTAATTGACAAATTTGGTTCAAGTTTTGTCAACATTATCAAGCCTCTTTGAATCATGAAGAACACAAATTTAATGAAGATTTTCAAAAGGATTACAATTAAAATATTAATTGCAATTAAATTCCTTTTTTAACCAAAATTAACAATAAGAATTGTAAAAGATCAAAAACCAGAATGCTCTATCGAGCTAATCCTTGTTTAAGATAATTTCAAAAGAAAATTGCACAAGTGAACAATAATCGTACATATTTAACTGCCCTGAACCATAGAATAGATACAGATTTTCAATAAGCCTCTTTTTTTAATTGCAAAACTGATCAGATTGATCTCCAAAACTATTTTTTTAAAAAAAAAGGCAAAAGTACGAGTTTAAAACAAACATAATGGCATATTATACAGTAAGAAACATAGATAGTGATATACAATCAGTTATTGCTTAATGTTCCACAATTAACTAAATTAAACAATGGTAAATTTCAAATATATTTCGGGAAACAGCACAAGTAAAACAAAATTAAACTAACTCTATTAAGTTCAGTAAATAAAATATTTGCCTCTAAAAGTGTCAAATACATGTTTGTTTGACACATTGTAAACAATCAGCACATAAATGTTTTTGCATCAGCAAATAATGCATTTCAAATAATGATTGAACTATATCATTATTCAATTCTTATATTATATAACGATAATATTAAAATTAAGTATGCATCTGAAACATTTTGAAACTAAGCAAAAAATGTAAACAAAAGCTTTGCATCGTTGATTACCACCGGGTATACTACGCATTAACGAGCAATATAATTTAAATAAATCATAAGAGAGTTAACATTCAAAACATTTGAAAGGTAAGTTGAGTATAGAATAGTAACATCATATAAAATTGTAGCAATCATTAGCGTATATCTCTAAATAACAATTTACGTTTATCCCACACACAAGAGGATGCAGTACTACACCAGCTGACATGTTATGAAGGCACGACTTGACAGGTAAAGAGAGGTCAATTAAACGTCAGAAGCTAAATTTATTAAATAGATGCTTACTTTGTGTATCTTAGGAAGATGTTTAAACTTATTAAAAAGTAATATTAATTCTCTATTGACGCCATTTTCACTTCACTAGACAATAACTTATCTATTTAACATTTATCACTAGAAAAAACAACATAAATTAACTGAAGAAGTTCTATGGCCTGAAACCATTTTCATGACCTAGGAGATAACTTTTTTACTGTATCTCCGTGAGATCGTTCATTTTCAATCCGCAATGTTTTTTTGATTTCACATGGAAAGACATTGCCCACTAGAAACTTCCATGAAATAAATAAATACTTTCCAACGTTTACGGTAAGTGATAGTATTTGCTTGGAAATTAGTGATCATGCGCAGAACTGGTGCGCGTACTATGTTTTACAAATATATCTGAAAGTGGGGAACGAAATGGGTGATAGGTGGCGTAGAGCAGGCCTCTATACCTATGGCAACACTTTACACGAGCTAGTAGAGTCTTATAGAAGTAAGAAGTACGCTAGTATCTCTCGTAATTTTTAAATAGATCAAAAACTTTTAAGTTTGAAAACTGTTTGAAACTGAAAACTATATTGAACATAGCTCTAAAAGAAAGCATCGGGGAAATTGAAAAAAGATATTTTTAACAATTCAATCCGGAAAATGTTATGAAAGAGGAAAATATCGTAGCGTATTCCTATATAACTCAGAAGAGGAGGAGAGGAAGGAACGATCCAGTCATGGAACCGGTGTTCACCCCAGAGGGTGTATTCGAACGTTGTGATCGCGAATAGTTGACTGAATGTAAACAATAACAAGCTTGTGGCGTAACTACCACTATAAATATTAAATACCGAATAACTAGTATATAAGACATGTTAACTTGATTCATTCGTGAGGAACCTTTTGATAAATGAAGGTTGACATCATCGATAATTAATTCCCCACAAATGGTGACCTGCGGACGTGATAAGAACTTGCCAACATTGATGGATGATCCACATTAAAACAGTTGATTTGCTTAAAAAATGAAAAGATCCGATGAAGTAAATAAAGTCTCCCTGTAATAAACAGAGAAAAAAAATGAGCGAAATACTATAAACAAAAAAAAATGAAGAAAAAATATATAATGGCAAAAATGATAAAAATAAATAAACAGCACGAATCAACCAGTGGTATTCATTCATCGAATTTTATCACAGATAAAATTCTAGAAGGGGAGTAATGTGGCGTAACTACCACTATAAATATTAAATGCCGAATCACTAAGTATGTAAGACATGTTAACTTGATTCTATCTTGAGGTACCTTTTGATGAATGAAGGTTGACATCGTCGGTAATTAATTCCCCACAAGCTTCCTAAAACTGGAAAAATTCAGAAAACTTTCGGTGTATTCCTCCGCTTATGCTATGCTCACGAGGCGATGTGCGCACTGACTTAATATTCTAGGAAGTTTCATTACTGTAATTTGTGATTAAAGTTACGCGTAATTTTACCATTCATAAGAGTTTTCTGTAATTTACAAATTGTAACTGGTTGTGAGCCTAAAAGAAATTTTAAAAAACTAATATCAAAATATAAAGTTCAAGTTTCGCCATGTTTTGAGTGTTATCCCTTATTTAGCTATATATGTGTAAAATATCACAATTTGATATTTTTTGGGTTGCATCATAGCATGCTTGCAAAGTCTACCAAATTCATTTGTTGTTTGTTCCGTTAAAATTTAAATCGAAATAATGCATTATATTGCAAACTCGATTAGTATAAAAATATTGGAAGTCGCGATTTTTCAAGTTTAGGAGTAAAAATCAATCGGAAGTAGCAACCCGGAAGACTTACGATGAATTTTAACCTCTAGCTCTGGGTTTGTTTGATCAGAAATCTAGAAATAAAAATCAAATGCATCAGCTGGGATTTGAAACCACCCTCAGCTGGAAGACGGAGAGCATAACTGTTGTGCTACGAATTAAAATAAGGTAAAAGATTTTATAAGTAAATGCACTAAAACTTTAAACCGTTAGACGAAAATCGTTACCCTATCAATCACACTCATTAATTCAAAATTAATTTCGTTTAAATGCTGATTCACAGATACACACTTTTCTTGTAAGCAAAATTAAGCTTATAAAAATATTTTCCGTCATGCTTGGGAATTGGGAAATAATCTTTTCTTGAAATTGATAATTTTGATAACTAGTCTTGATGAATTTTGATAATTGGGTATAATATAGCCTACGTCATAGGTTGTGTTGTTCCTACTAAATTTAACCCATGAACGGCATTTTCNCTTGGGAATTGGGAAATAATCTTTTCTTGAAATTGATAATTTTGATAACTAGTTTTGATGAATTTTGATAATTACCGAAAACCTATTTTTATAATATTACGTTAATTTGACGACTATATATTTTTTAATTAACGTCTGAAAATTGCGTTCACCTAAACCAGGGTGTTGCTAAGAGTGATGTCATTTCTGTGTAGCATCTAGGTTGAGAATCACGGTTAAATGAGAGTACCTTTGATAGCGCAAAGAATTGTTAGTTCTAATAGCTTTTCTAATTTCTTAAAAACCTCTATAATAAATGACGAATTTGCCACAGGACAATCTTACTTTTAAATTTTTTGTCAAGTGTTGTATTTTTAAAAAAAAAATATTATAAGAATTAAATGATTCCCAAAAGCAGAGAAATTAAGTAAATGAGATTAGGTTGTAACTTTTTGCTTCAAAATTACTTGAACTCTTGGTTTCATTAAAATGTTACTTTTTGAATGTTATTTGAATTTCCGATATATTTCACAAGGCTTATGTACCTTCGCAAATTTGAAAGTTACGTACTGAAATTTATTTAGAAATTATAGGTAACATTTATGTGACCAGCGTCGTCAAAAGTATAAGAAACTGGTCGTCAAATTTGTAAAAGAATTTTTGAAAACCCTCTTCTTTATCCTTTAAAAAAACATTATTTTAGAGAATTCATGCGAGGGATCTTTGTTCTAAGAATATTAATTTGGAAAGATAAAGCAAGCCTAGCTTTCAAATAATCATACAAAAATTCAATGCCAGTTTTTTAGATTGTTGAGGTCACTGGCCAGCTTAAGCAAAATAAAAAATTCCCAGCTACAAGTTTTAATCGTGAATCTAGTTTATTATTGATAATAAATCCCTACATATATGTAGGGATTTCTTTAAAACTCGTTCCCTTACTATTATATGAAATTCTGCATGTTAGAAATTAAATGCATGCCTACACAAGAACATTTTCTTTCTTTTTCACATTTTTTTCTTAATAATTGCGATGGGGTAGATCGCATAAAAAATATGGTCAAGCAACATATTCGTTCTTTGTTTTCTTACCAAGCTTTGCGCGTTTAGCATTTAAGTTTGATCTATTGGCGATCGCAACGCTCGAATACGCCATCTGGGGAGAGACCGGTTTCATGCCTTTGACCCTTCTCCCTTCCCTCCCCTCCTCTTTCCCCCTTCTTAATATTTTTCCTTTTCACTTAATCAAAATATTTTTTAAAATTTCCATGATGCTTTTCTTTAGGACTATGTTTAATGTAGTTTTCAGTTCTATTTAGTTTTCGAACATAAAAGATTTTAATCTATATGAAAATCAAGAGAGAAACTAACGTATTTCCTTCCTCTATGACTCTCCACACGCAGGTGGCGTAGAGCAGAACTCTCTCCTTATGGCAACACACCAGCAGTCAATTTTTAATAAAAAAAGTCAAATAAATTAACGTCTGTCAGAGATAGATATAGAAATCCTCAGTACCGTTCACTCGGCATGCCATTCACGTTGCCATTCACATGCCATTCTACTCTTAAGTCATTGTACACGTATTTAATGATCTTAATTTTTCTTTTATTTTCACCAAAGAATTGAACTTTATTTATATTGAATGAAATGAATTAATAGTTTTTGCATATTTAAGAAATTTGATTGAAAATCATGCTCCTGGAGCACCACTATAANCCCAGATGGCGTATTCGAGTGTTGCGATCGCGAATAGAAATCCACAGTACCGTTCACTCGGCATGCCATTCACGTTTTTTCGATTATGAAGCTTTTCGAGGAGAAATAGATTTCGCCATTTCTATTTCTCCTCGTCATTTGGATGTGCAGGAATCGCATGCAGTCCTACTCTTAAGTCATTGTACACGTATTTAATGATCTTGATTTTTCTTTTATTTTCACCAAAGAATTGAACTTCATTTATATTGAATGAAATGAATTAATAGTTTTTGCATATTTAAGAAATTTGATTGAAAATCATGCTCCTGGAGCATGCTCCAAAAAGAACCGCCACTGGATAGAGTTCGGTTGTTGTGGTTAAAATTTTTTACGGTTGCCAAGGGATACTGTTCTCTATCATGAAAAAGTTTAAAGGCTACAAGCAACACAGTAAAAACTACCTTTTTGAATGCGAAAGTATCTTTCAGGTTTTATTTTTCTTCTGCTAGGTAAGGAAGTATTCTGTCATGCGACGCTGAATCTGTAAGTTCATTGCCATTTTATCGATTGGATTTGAGTGCCTTCAGGTAAATTCAGAGAAATAGAGTGTTGATGATATGACAAGAAGAGTTGTATAGCATAGGGAAGAACGAGTTCAATTTTCATAGCTTAATTTCGTTATCGTTAAAATCGTTTCTATTATAAAGAATTTTCAATTTGATATCTCCTCATTTGAAAAATGTATGGTGCTTCAGATAGTTTTTCTAGGTAGGTGTCAAGTTTTAATATTTGGCTATGGTCTTATTGATTTTTACATTATTCTTGGTATTTAAATATACATATGTCTTTTAGCTACAAAAAGAAGCAGAATATGCTAGACATCTACACCTTTTAAAATCACAATAAAATTTAAGTAAAATTCTAATAATAAAAGTTTACTGATTCTCATTCATTAAATTGTGACATGGTTATGAATTTCTTATATCAAAACGCGAATTTCTTGTTAAATACCGGATAAACAAGATGCCTAGTTATATTAAGTTGTCAATTAATTTAGACCTAATCGAGAAGCCAGAATACTATATTATCAGACTAATAATTAATTCAATGCATATTGTAATTTATAAAAAAGAATTGTGTATTTATATTTTACCTCCCAATTGTATATTTCCTTGCCCGACTTCTTTAGATTAAAAAAATTCTTGATAAAAAGTAGCATAACTTTTTCTGATCTCTTTTTAATTATTAACTTGTCCTTTTGATACCCGATTGTCATAATTTTACAGTGGATAAATCGCAATGAACAGTTTTGTTAATTTTTACTTTTTTACTCAACATGCCCATAGAAATATTTTAAACCACACAGCTAAGCATAACTTTTTCTGATCTCTTTTCAATTATTAACTTGTCTTTTTGATACCTGATAGTCATAATTTTACAGTGGATAAATTGCAATGAACAGTTTTGTAAATTTTTACTTTTCTACTCAACGTGCCCATAGAAATATTTTAAACCACACAGCCTGTACTGGTACTGTAACCTAAGTGTCAGTATTCATCTCAACCACCCCTAGAATCAGTGGTTGGAAGTAGCTTACTACAAGTAGTAAAACTGCTGTAGTTGCTACCTTTTTTACAGTTTGTAGTGTAATGTGCTACTTAAAGAAAGCATTGTAGTGGGTAGTACGAGTAAAAGAAAGTAGTTTGTTGTGGTGCATGGTATATTCTTTTAATATAAGTTAAGTTTAGAAACAAGGTTCTAACACAACTAATTTTTCAAATGTGATGGATAAAAATCTTCGCAGGTTCATCAATGGATACAATGAAAATGCTTTTGTGGCTGCGGCAGAGCATTAACAAGAATTATGTATTTAGAACCATGCATAACTGATATTGAAATTAACATTTACTAATGACAGATATGTAATTTATCACTTTGGGTCCCTGTTTGACAAATGTACCTGAAACATTGATTTTTTTCAAAAGAAGGGAACATATTTTTGATGTGCTTAATTTCTTAGAAGAAATAAAAGAGCATTAAACACTTAACTGAACAGCAGATATTTGATAATTTTTATAGCATTTGTTCAATTAAACATTAAATTATAAAAATTTGAAGGTTAAATGAACAAATTTGAAAAAAAAAATGTCTTAGAATAACAAACTGACCCATGTAAACATGAATAAATATTTTTTAATAATCCCTCATGTTTAATTCATGGCATTTTTTTATTTATTCAAAACCCTTTTGAACTTTGGTGTAAATTAAGTTCTCTAACACCCTTCATCTTCTTAAACTAGTAGAGTAGTTACATTTTGAAAGTAATTTGTAGTTAATTACAAGGTGTAGTAAACTACAAAATAGTGAAGTTTTTCCCACCACTGTCAGAATTTAGTATAAAGTTGTATCCAAACAAAGGAAGGACAGGACAATTGTTTCAGGACTAATTGCAGGCTGTATTGAAAAGAGTGTTGCTAAAAATCTTTAAAAAAAAGTTTTTTTTAAAGTTAAGACAATTCTGTACTTTACGGTTAACCGAGCGAAGTCAAATAGTAGTAAAATGAATAGTTGAACTCCGCCAACATTTTTACTTATTATTTTTCACTATTTTTTATTTAATTTATTTTTAAACATAATAGCAGAATATATGCAAAAATATGCAGATAAAAAAGAAGTGTAAGTCATTATTCTATGTTTATCAAAATGAAAATAATGACTCCAAGAATTAAAGTGCTGACGATTTTAAAAAAAGGTATTTTTTTGATAATAATAATCTTTTAAAATAATATCTTACAAAGTTTTTGGTGTTTTGTGGAAGGGTAGATTTCTGCATCACAATCAACATTAAAATAATTACAAGTCTTGGTGATTTGTGTCCAGTGGCCCACGAGAAACTAAAAAAATCATAACAGAAGGAGGCCAATTGGAAATGCATTGATTATTAGCCATCTGAGCGGCAAACTTATGCAAGTTTTTTTTTTAAAAAGTGCAAGATTAAAATCCATTTGGTGACTTAGTGATTGTAGATGGCGCTAGACATAACAATACAGAAATATCGCCTTGTAGAAAGTGTTGGTAGTAGTTTTCCGCTGGGACTGGGATTTGAAAAAAATAACCCGAGTTTTTCTAACAAAGATAAACCCACCTGTTTTTGTTATCCAAATCCCAGGTTTTTAATAAAAAAAAACCAGGTTTTTTTTCAGAAATACTTCAAATTTTTATTCCCACGTCCGTAATAAAATTGCAGGATTTGATTTCAACATATAAATTGAATGTTTGGTTACTCTTTATCACTTTTGTTGCAATGTAATAATTTTTTAGGAAATTTTAGATTTTTATGCTATTATTTTTATTTCTTAATGACAAACAGATTGTTTCATAAACATTTACAATTAAATAAATAATCAGTATCAACTAGTTAATATTACCTCATATCGATATATAGTTAAAATTTGTAATTGAGTTCAAGATTTCTTTAACCACATTTAAATAATCACGAAATGAAAACACAATCAGTATGTCACTTAATAGTTTTGTATAACAATAATTTTAGCTGATGATCCCGTTAAATTCTATCATAGAATTCATATATAGACTATGCTGTAACAGTGTTCTCCCTTAGCGTTTTAAAAAGGGAAACCCATCTTGCTTGCTCTTTGATTCCTATAAATGTGCCCTCTTTGCCCTTTTTGTAAAAAATAAGCCCCCATCTTTTAAAAACACTGCCTTTTTATTCATATTCCATTATTAAGAAAAATGAATTAACTGTTAAAATCATAATTACACGTAATTATCTGTGTTTGAAAGTTAAATTCTGATTACTATTACAAATAGTATTTACTTTGTTAGAATTATTGGCTGGTTTGTTAGAATTATTGTAACTGGTTAAATTTTTCTAAGTTTCTCTTTTTTTCAAGGAAGTATATTAATAAATTTTTTTTAGTGTTTTGAAAATTTAAAATTATTTAAATAAATACCTTTTTTTTAAAAAAAAATACACCTCTATTTTTAAATAATTTTCAGTATAAATTATAGAAAAAATCCTTCTAGTTTACGTTTTTTTGAAAAAAATGTATACACAGAGACTGTCTCTTAACATGCCTTTAATTATTATTTATAAACTACAAATTTTTCTCTTATTTAGATAATGAGTGAGAATTACTTTTTGAAACATACGCATAATTACACGGCAACTTAAAAATTGTTGAGCATCAAATTCAGTTATTACATGTCATCACATTTTGACTAAATGTTATCACATTTTGATAAATTTTTATGGTGTTAAGTGAGCGCCCTTTCAAAACTCTAAGTGCCCTCTTCTGTGATGAAGCACCTAGCTCTTTTTTATTCCTAGGGAGAACTCTGGATATGATCCGATTGGTTGGAACCGATCATTTGTAAAATCATATGAAAGAGAGGAATCAGTAATTGTAAAACTAATGAAGTCTATCTTATAAGATTTCTTAGACGTAGACTTAGAGGTTGGGCAGCTCCTAAGAGCAGGGCCAAACCCTAAATCATGATTAGCATGAAAGCAAGCCCTATAGCTGAAATAAAATTCAGCGAACACCATACAGGAACATCCTGCAGTTCCCAGGTTTTAACGGAATGCTGCCCCAAATGCTCAAATCTTTGAGCAGAATAGACCTCACAATCACAAAGTATATGTCGTTCTTCTTCACGATGACAACCTCGACAAAGAGAATTGGATTATAAGATTTGTTACTACATTTGCTGATGGTGAAAACAATAAATAAGCGTATGTTCCTTGAATTAACTGCCATAAAATTTGATAGTGTGAAATTGTTAATTGAGTTTCTTTTTCATAGAATGACTGAATTCCCCAAAAGGTTTAAACAATGAATCCTATGGGTATATGCTTGTTGAACCATGTATGTAATTAGTGGATGATCTCTAAAATGGAGCAATTGAATTATGTGCTAGCATTGTTATATTACAAGCATTGTTAATTAAAATAAAAGGATGTTGGATCAAAAATCTAAATTTTTTGATTCTTTAATCTATATTTCAAAAAGCCACATTTGTATTCTTAGAAAATGGGATGTCCTGAATACAAACAATGTTCAGCAATATCGGAACAAATTATGAACTAAGTATGAAAGTATATGTGAAACTTCTCAAAACCCGATTTTCGATTAGAAAGCAAAAAAAAATTAATTTTTAAAAATTTTTCTTTTCGAATTAAGCATTTAATAAGAGCAATTTTTTCTTAAAACTTTTGGGAGTATTTATCAGTAGCGTTGAACTTTCTTGATTTGTTAAAAAGATTGCGTTTTACTCATAACATACCATAGGCTTTTTAAAATTTTTTTTGTGTGTCTTGGCTAGCCACATTATTTAATTCGGAACTTAGCAACCAGAGCAAAGCTTCCCGAAGCAGGCAATTTGTAAGCAAAGATCGACGGGCCTTCAAAGGCTATTATTTTGTAGTTTGAATAGGCGCCTCAAGTGTGCGCGATTTCTCCACTCTTCACACTTTCCCCCTCTGTGGTTTCGGTAAATCGTGCTTTTTCTTACAACAGTACGTTTTAGTAATAAGTTTAAATATACTGGCTTGAAAAAAAAAACAAGATTTTCCGAAACTATGGAAACAGGGAAGTGTAAAGAGTGGATAAATCACGTAATCTTGAAACTCTTATTCTATTTACAAAGAATATAGATAATAAATAAGTAGGAGGACAAAGGATAAGACGATTTTACAATACGAAGAACGTACGTACTGTTGTATTTAGTGTGTGCATAAGGAA